GTGGGCTGGGGGAGGTAAGAGATAATGAAGTGATAGGTAAAAGGGTGATGGTGTGGTCCAGGGTTGCTACATTCATATTTCTATTGTTAGCAATTCATGTTTCTGTTGTTTTGAAATGGGGAGCCTTAGAGGGTAGTTGTGCAAAAGTCAGATTTGGGAGCAAGTTGCTGAGCTGGCAGTGAGGTGAAATGCTCAAGTCTAAGCAAGGTTGAGGTGGATTATAGGCCTTGGTTATTGAGCAAAGAAAATGTTGGAACATCGTGGTGATAGTTACATCCTGGAGTCAGTCCAGAAGTGACTGAGGTTCAAGAGTCAGTCTATGGAAGTTGAGAGTCTTTGATTTGCAGCCATTTGTTTCTGACCCTAGACTATTCTGGCCACTGCATGGGCCCTCAGTTCAGTGTTGTGTTTCACCTGTCTTGCTTCTCCTTTCCTTCTCCTGACCTTATATTCAACCAAAAGGCAAAACCTATTGCTCTGTCAACTGCTAGTTGTTCTCTTGCTTTGTATAGCTCCTTGAAACAAAGACACTCTCAAGACTTGGGTTTGTCCAGTAGAGGTTTATGGTGCTGTGTTATCATCTTATTTTAGTTTGCCATAACTAACATTCTTATGCAAAAATAAAAATGATGTTAACTAGCATGGCATGGATTTTATTCTTTAAGTGCTTTTACCCAGTATCAGCATTATGACTCAGTGTTCTTGTTATATTCCTCTCATAAATGAAAGCATCACTTTCATTTTTGCAATGTGACTTAAATAAATGTATTGATTTAAGGTTGCATTTTATTTAGTATATTTAATACAGTAATATATGAATATATAAACCCCTAAAGTTATTCCTGTTTTCCCGTGCTATATCCTGTCAGGGGTTAATCACATCAAGTTTGACCACTCCTGGTGCTAATGGCATAAGATGATGTGTACTCAAGTCCATATTCAGTAAATAAAAGTTTTTTTGTAGTAAACTACTCTGGTGGGATGTGTCATCTGTCAGGCATGTGGGTAGGTTTAAAGGTGTGTCATAACTGGAAGTTGATTCAGACCTTGGACTGCAGTAGCTGCTGGGATAACTAGTTGGCCATGTGTCTGGGGGTGCAGCATTCTGTATGAAGTAATACAGGTGCCCTGCTACATTCTGGCCCTGCTTTCCTTCTGCAAGAGTCTCACAAGATAGCTCTGCTGAATCTGGGGAGCAGGGACTGCAGGGCTTTTTTCCTGGTGCAAAATCAGCCTCTCATTTTAGCAACTGCTGAATTTCCCCTGGAATATGTTTGGTCTGTGTGGCTGTGTCTTTTGAGTTCGCAGTGTTCTAAACATCCACTGAAAAGTTTCATGTAAGTTACCTAAGTTCACAGCCTTGTATCTGTAATCTGCGTGATCTAATCATTCCATTCTGGCTTACTGCTAGACTAAGACTTTGTGTGTGTAATGATACAGTGCCACATTGTCTCTTCTCTGCACTGTGGAAGAGAAGGAATGTTTTAAAATTCAGGCATAATTCTTCAGAGGGACAAAGCAGATTGATGTGATGGGTTCTGACAGGTACTGTGTAAACATGTTAAAAAAAGGCAGGCAGCACTGTTGTGTGTGGTCAGTCTGCAAGTCCTTGGCGGGTTCTCAATGAGGAAAAAAAGGAGTTTGGGTTTGTGTTTGGGAAGGGGGGGAAGCTGTTTGTCAAGATTTTCCTCTTTATATTGTTAGATTTTAAGGTGTCCATGCTCATTTTTGTCTTTGGAATATTGCAGTTAACTTAGAAACATTCTTAGGGAGTTAGTGTCTCTGTAGCCAATGTGAAGAATAAAAAATATAAGTTTAACTTGCACTAAATTTATATGTACATAATACTGGTAAACACGGTTACTGACACAATTTATTTCATGTCTTAGAGCCTTTGTATCATAGAATGAATATAACTTAAGGTAAATGGTTACACAACACGAGAGTTTGGTCTTGCTTTTGGATAACTGATAATCTGATCGCTTATTTGGTAACAGATTTTTTTTGGTGCTTGATGTAAAAACCGTATTAGGCAGATGATGAGGTACATTATCTGCAATAACAGGAATGGATACCTGTCAGGGCAAAACCTCCCTTGATCACATAGCTGTGCTTTGTTTGCTTCGGTCGTCTTTGTACTGATTACTGGTGTTAAAATTATTTCCTTGTATGCATAGTAGAACAGAGCATTAACAGAAGACCCACTTGAAAGTCCTAGAACAGTTTGTCTTCTCTGAAGCAGAACTTATTGGTGAGACTAGAGCTGTTGAACCAGTGACTTAATTTAGTCATAATATTAAACAAAGCTGTAATTAAATATGGAGATCAAAATATGTTTGAAGATTTTCTGAAGGTGCTACAAGCTTTGTGGTTTCTGTGATTTGAAAACTGAAATGATAATAGCTTTAGATGACATGGAGAGTTTTTACATGCATTTGAAAGAAGAAAAAGAAATACCTGATTTTGAGAAAGATGGATGATGACAGCACTCATATTCTGTAACTGTTCCCCGCTGAAAACACTGTATTTTAGGTTTTCCAAGTAATAAGTGGTCATTGAGAGAGTGTCAAATGAGAGGTGATAACAGAAGATCATAGAAACTAAATTAGAGCTGAGTTAGTTTTAGAACTCTTTTTTTCTTCGGTTTAATTCATGCAGTTGTTTTGCTTCATCTTTTTCATAGTTTTGTCTGTTCTGTTTGAAGTGTTTTATAACATCTGCCACTAAAGTTTTGGGAGGGTGATGGTACTACTGTTGTTTTGCTTATTGTGCCTTTGCATATTTGATCATTCGCTTTCAGCAGGATGTGAATATTTCTACTAATTGCTTCTAGACATGCTGAAAAGGTTGTTGGTTTTGAATGGGTTTGTTCATTTCCTTTCACAATATTGATTTTAAGATACACAGTTAAAAAGTGACTGGTGAAAATCCATGGAAAATTTGACTGAAGGATTTAGAGATGGTCTTTCTTGCATAACAATGTAACATAATGACTGCCAGGAAAAAAGTCATGTATTCTGAGATTTCCTTGATTTCAGTTTGGCTGTTCTACAAAATGAATTCACTTCAGTAAAAGTCCACTAGATTTTTTACTAACAAATATTTTTTACTTTTTTTCCTTAAAATTGTATTAGTGAAGGCCACAACCAACCAATAACCTGGCAAAGTAAAGCTCACTTAATGTGAAGCTTTATAGAAAGTACTTATTTTTTTATTATGCATAGGTATTTTTATAGTTTTCTTGTGATTTTTCCACTATTGGCATATTGCCCAAAAATGCAAAGGAATATGCAAGATACGCACTTCTCTAGTGCTGTAGTGTCAATGTGAACATCTCCTCATCTAACATAGTTTTGAAGGATGCACTTTTCTATATATACAGTAGTGAAGACTTTACTAACAGCAGTGCATGACAGACTCTGGCATTCCATTTGTGATGTGGACCATCCATTTAGGAGCTTTACTTCTGATTTTGCTTTCAGGCTTAAGATCAGAAACTTTTCATATCTTTAATTTACTTCAGTGAATTGTGGAGATGATTGCCTTAGATAATGCACTGTTTGGTAAAGCAGAAGTTGTTGGACTGGCAAACAGCAGGGAAAGCGGTTTAGCTAATGATGTTGCAGTACATCAGTTGAGACGTACTGCATAATCCCATACACTTAAAAGGGGGAAAATAGGGTTTTGATTTTTATGTCATCTGACCTGGAATGGTTTGTTCAGGAAAGCTGGATTGAAATTTAATTTGAAAAATTACTCACCTGACACCATTTAGCAGTGAGAGCAAAAAAGTATCCATTGCTTTCAGCTTTCATTACTGTTGCTGTAGGACAGGACATGTATGAGCACAGAACACAAAGAGAAATCCATCTTCTCCCAGTTCCTACCTGCACACACACATGATGCTGAATCCCATTTCTCCCTACTGTCTATCAGTAATAACCTGAACTGCCTCCTAGGAAGCAGTAACAAAGTTGTTATTTAGCTATTATTTTGGTTTGCTCCTTTTATGAGCTGCTGTTTTGATGGGTGTAGTCAGCAGGGCTTGAGAGAGAATATCAAGTGACTTTGCCTTTGGTCCAAGGGGAAAATTCAGTTTGTTTGCACAAGATGCTATTGTCTGCTGAATGTGGTCAGCTGAAAGGAACTGACCTCTGTGCTCATCAACAGGTCTCTTATTCTACTGCTGCTAATAGTATGAACCTCACATAGCAAATCTTTCTTTAAGTGAAGGGTTCAGAGGAACAGAAAAGGAAATCTGTGGCTTTAGGGCTTTTAGAAAGCCATTCCCTCAAAATCAGAACAGCTTTGGGTGAACAGTAAGGGACCAGAATGAAATACCAGTTTCTCTGAGTATGTGCCTTTCCCTGCTTGTGCTGATAGCAAGGAAAGATTTAATGCAAAAATTCTTGTTGTACATCTCTATGACCAGGAGAAATCCCAGAACATAAGGAAGATTGTCTTTTGTTCCATACAGAACAGTACTGAGATGGAATGCTTCTGGTGCAGCTAACTTTATTTACTTTTCATGAACATTTGTAAATAACTTCTTCCCTTCCCTAGGTCTGAAAAGAAAATGCACTTTTTCTCAAGGAGCCGGGTATGCCAGGAAATAAATGAACAAATAAGACCTTCAGGAAGCTAGCAAATGTGCCACGTATTTTTGAGTGTAGTTAAAACTGACTAAAGCAAAGGCCTTTGAATCAAAGATGGAGGTTTCCCTAGTGTGCTTTGTTATATGACAACGTTTGTGTTTCCATTCTCCTTCCAAAAAATACAGATTCTAAAAAGCCACGTTATATACTGTATAATCTTTATATAAATGATCCTAATTGTACGCGATGATAGCTAATCCACTGACTAGTTTGTAAATATTATAGGTATTCAGCTGTTGCTGAACAATAAAATTAAACATGTTTTTTTCCTACCGTATCTATGTCTTGTTCATCTTCTTCCCATCCCCATTAGACTAAATGTCTCTATTTTATTTTTCTTCATAGATTGAAATGCTAAGGAAGAAAGTGAAAGAAAAGGAATTATTCATAGTACAGCTTTTAGAAAAAATCTCTTTCTTAGAATGTGAGGTAACTTTTAATTTATATTATTGTGATATTTTTATGAAACCAAATAAAATTTGAACTGTTATCTGATGTTATTGGGATGCATATTTACTATATATATATTTGTTGTTCTTCAGTATGGAAATCAAACTTACAACACCAGTAACATTAAGAATGTGTGTAATACAGTCTCAATATTAATGCTGTTTCTTAACATACAGTTTTATAACAGTTGTTATAACAATTACTCAAAACAGAAGCTTCTGAATACAACTGTTGGTTTGATTTATATTTTTTTTCCCAGAAGTAAGGATTCCTCTTTCTCAAGAAATACTTTTACATTATTTCATGTGGATTAAGCCAATGTGCAGTTTTATTTCCTTGCTTAATTAACACAATATAAATAAAATAAACTTATGAAATGAAAATTATTGTTTTCCAGAATAAAGAATTACAAGATAAACTGGACTACTTAATGGAAAACCAACCAAAGACCAATGTAGAAACCAGAGATACTGGTGTAGGATGTGATCTCCCATACAGGTATTTAATTTTTCTGCTTGTTCATAGGAAAGTTCTTCATAATCTCCTTTATTGGTGCTGTATTAGTAAACCATTGTGCTAAACTGTCAGAGTGGATTGTGGAGTTTTACAGAATTTTCCTAAGTTTAAAAGATTACATCTACAAGGTGTAGTGTACTTCAGTGACCTATGCAAACCTTTGGGGAGTTCTTATTTACAGTAACGTGATTTAAGAAGGGAGTAAAAGAAGTCAAGAGATAAGACTTTATTAAATATCGGAAATATTGATGAATTATGTCATCTGGCAGCACAGCAAAAAACAATGGACAATTCTACCCTGAGGCTGGTTAATGCTGGCTTTATGCTGCTTTATTATTTGTGTTCTGGGAGATGCATCCAGGATCATTGTAAAGGGCAGGTAACATCAACAGTAAAAGTTTAGGGCTGCCCCAATTTCTTGAAGATGTACTAGCCCTGGGTGGAAGATTGCCAAGAAAAGAGTGTGGCAACATTACTCTTTCTGCACTGGGGTGGTTGTCTCTGATCTGTGGTGGCCAGTGTCTCTGTAGCCTTGGCTTCTCCTCCTCCCCTTTCTCTGCCCTGAACACTGCAACAGGGTTGCAGTAAACCCTGGGAGCAAGGCTATGGAATTGCACTTGAATCTTACTTCTGTGGAAGGGGAAAAACAGAAACCAAAATAGTCAGGTAAGAAGGACTATTGCACATTACTTTTACTACCAACAGGTAAACTTACTTGTCTTAACTGCCCTGCAAACTAAATCATTTAGTTTCAGCAACGTAAACCAGCACATGAAATCAGCAAGCTGCAATACCAACTAAAATTTCCTTCCCAGTTAATAAATACTCTCATTTCAGTGTTCAGCCTGGAGCATGTTTTAATGGCATGAATTTTGAAACTTCAAAACCAGTGGTTTTCACTGAGGGTGCCAACAGAAAGCTATCTTTGTTGTCCTCTCTGGGGCCCCTCTGTATGTAACTGCCACCCTACTTATCTGATATTTTTCTTGTTTTTGAGATTTACATAGAAATTTATCTCTCTACAGTTCAGATTTTATGGAATTACTCTTCCAAATTAATTGTGTTCTTAAATGTAATATTGCTGTCTTTATTGTTACAGGATCTTTAGTCCTAGTAACTGTATTGCTGGACATTGCAATATGAGCTGCAGCAGATGTCTGCCAGTAAACCTCCCAGTATCTGGTTTTTATCAAATGTTCTTTGTGGCAATAGAGAAAAGAAGTATAGAACATGCCAAATACTCTGAGTAGTTTCATTTTAGCCTGTCAATATCAATAATGAGGCACAAGTTCATTGCCATGGCATTTCCAGCCTAGCTGTCCGATACTCTGACACCAACTCTGTAAGTTTTTGTTGTCTCCTTAACAGTACAAGTACTGAGAATGGAAGATCTCCTGAAAGTGCAAGGCCCGTGAGGACGTACACCCCATTCAAGAGAGTGTTGGAATTTAGCACAAAGAATGGTACATCTTGAGCTGATTCAAGTCTTTCATTGCTTTCTAAATACAAGCAAATACCTTGCGCCTTTGCAGCTTGATTAGATAATTTTTTATCGAGTCATAGAGAAGAACAGCAGCACGGAGTCTTGCTAAATTTATCCTGAAAGCAGCTTTTTTGTAACTTCCTGTCTGAAGTTACTACTGACATTAACTGTGGGGGTGGGGGGGATACGAAGGAAATGGGATGAGTGAAACAGCAGTCAATATTGCTTCTTCAGAAGCTAGCTAGTGCAATGTATCATTTCAAATGCCTGTAAGGAAGGAGTTGTACAGCTGTACAGGGTTTTTTTCTTCAACTGTGTTGTAATCCTTTGTGTAATGAAGCTCTAATATATTTTATTTTCAATGCTACTAGAAGCAGTATCTGAAACTATGCTGGCAGGAGGTGTTAGTCTGAGAGCTCTTCCTTTGTGTACAGAGTGTGAGGGCTGTTCATGCCTGTCAGAGACCTGCTGTAGTTGAGGGCTCTCTTCACCTCGAAGTTCACTCATAACCAGTACTCTTTTGCTTGGAGGACAGATGCAACTGGGCTGTTTAAAGCAATTCCCTCAACGCCTGCAGATGAATGTCATGTTTGTTGCTCAAAACAGTAAGTGATAGAGCAGATTCTAATGGATTTTGCTTTGTTGGACTGAGACACTGGTTTGCACTTCCTTGGTCATGGGATAGCATGACTATTGGTGATACATTCAATAGTAATTGTGTAGGAAAATCCCTGTCACATTTTTTTATTTACTTTTCTGATAGAGGAAATGAAATGAAGCAGAATTTTGCCTGCAGCAGTCCCTGCAATTCCTACATCAACAGCAATCCTGAATCAGGATTTTTGAGTACTCTTTTTTTTTTTCCCCAAAGCACTTAAAATCTTATTCTTGACTTGAAAGTACCAGCAGGAATGACTTCATCTAGTACTGAACCTTATTTAAACATATACACAGGGCATTTTTTTACATCTTGTTTTGATCTTTCAGTCTTAGTGAACTAAAATGAAGTATGAAGATTTTCTTGTAGTTCTATTATGAATGAAGGGCATTTTTTTATTATTACAGTATCTGATATTGAAAACAACTTTCATTTTGTATGATTAATATCATTCTTGCATTGAATGTCAATCCCAGGAGGTACTCACCTTGCCACAGGGCTTTACAAAGTGATTGCTTTTATCTCCAGTCTAATGCAAGTTCCTAAGTTCAGTACTGTCTGTTCAAATTAAGTATACTTAGTATTTCAAACAATAATATTGACCTCATAATCCAAATCTTATTCCTTCATTATTACATGGGTTTCTGGATTTGTTAGATAACGTTGTTTACTCTCTAGCTGTGCTGTTTAACTACTAAATGTAGAAGCCTGTATAGGAGGATGGATTGAAGGATGTTTTGATGTGGTACAGGAATCTTGCAGGAACATGAATTGCTTGATATAATCAAAGCATATGCATAGCAAAATGGGAAGCTCAGACTTCCACAGCTTTTGTGATAGATGATCCTGTTTGCACATAAGCTTTTTTTTCCGTCATGACCTCGTCTATTCCTGAGAACTTAAAATGGCCATTCTTTCTAAGAAGTGAAACACAGTACCATGGATTGGTTTATGCACAAAATTCAAGAACTAATTGCAATGAAAGCCGTTAACAGAAAAGTGAATTCTTTACTGTGTTAAGGAAGCCTGTACCTTCGCTGATAGGGAGGTCACAAATGTTAACAGCTGCTCAATGCTTCTTTTAAAAATAATAATTAAAAAAATACATTGTTAGTTTCAATAGCTCTAAAAGGAAACTCTATTTATTTTGCATGTGCTGAGGGAGTGCAGAAGATCTCATAGATACAAAAAGGGCAAAGAAACCCTTCCAGCTGTCACATCAGTAAACAGCCTAATACCACACCTTTGCTTAAATGGCTTCTTGCAGAGAAGAGGTGCAAAATCTCTGAAGTGGGAAAATATGGAAGAGTAGGTCCCCAAGAACAGTCTGCTCCTTATAAAAGCAGTCCTCTGACAAAGCACCCTCTCGTTATGCAAAGCAGAGGAATTGTCTTGTACTTGAATACCAAAGACTTGGAAACAGCTGACACAGGAGAAGCTGTAGTCTTAAGAGTGCATAGGGTGTTTTTGATTGAAGTTTTGATGCTTGACTGAACTTGGGAGACTGAGTTTGCTGAAAAAAGTTCCCAAATAACAGTTAGTTTGATCAATCATTAAATGAATTATGGTTATGAGAAACTAAGATAATGAAGTGAAACTCTAAAAGAGAAGTCATTTCAGTTGGAAATGTATGTTGATGAACCCCGAAGAGGATGGGTAATGACCCAGCTCAAGCTTCAGGGTTAAGCTTCGGACTTGTGTAATCATATCTCCCTCTAGTGGCTGATAATAGCAAATACTTGGGCAGTATCCTTCGGAAGAGAAGCTGCAGTATAATCCCAGCTGGTCATGTTAATGTCACCGTTAGGGATGCAGCTTCAGTTCATCACATTATGCCTTCTAGCATTTTTTTTGTTCCTGTCGTGCTTTAACCCCAGCTGGTAGCTCAGCACCACACAGCTGCTTGCTTACTCCCTGCCCTGGATGGGATGGGGAGGAGAATCAAAGGAATGTAAAACCCACGGAGATAAGAAGAGTTAAATAACCAAAAGAAAGTCAAATATAGTGATAATAGAAAGAATGCCAACAATAGAAATAATAATAGGAAACAACAAGAACAAAGAAATGAAAGCTCAGAAAACACAAGTGATGCACAATACAAATGCTCACCACCCACTGACCGATAACCCGGCCTGACCCAGCCAGTGATTTGGGCCTTCCGGGTAACTTTCCCCAGTTTCTATACTGGGCATGACATGCTGTGGTATGGAATACCCCTTTGGCTAGTTTGGGTCAGGTGTCCTGTCTCTGCTTCCTCCTGGCTTCCTGCGCCCCACCTCACTGGCAGAGCATGAGAGACTGAAAAGTCCTTGATCACAGTAGGCACTACTAAGCAACAACTAAACCATTGGTGTGTTATCAGCATTGTTCTCAGACTAAAGCCAAAACACAGCACTGCACCAGCTACTAGGAAGAAAATTAACTGCCACAGCTGAAACCAGGACAGTGTCCCAGTAGTCCCTCTACATTTCAGGAGTTTAATTATAAACCATAGTTTGTGAAATTTACCTTCAAACTTTATATGACTGGATAAAGGTGGTATTTATAGATAAAAGGAAATGCATGTTGTAGTGAAAGACATTAACCGACAATTTTAAAGAAGTGTAAATTCTTTATCCCTCTGGTTTTGGCCAGAGTTCAGAAAACAGAATATGATGATGGAGGTGCTCAGTGAACAGGAGAGGGCAGGATGAAGTATCAAAATGCTGTTTTGACAGACTTCAAAAGGAAGTTCATTCTCCTTTTATTGCACTCCTGAGGATCTCCTCTGAAACTACTGCAAGCTATTTTAACTCTCAGACTTGCAAAATTATGATCTGCTCAAGGATTTCCCAACACTGC